GGATGATAGTAATTGGGATTGTATTAATAATAAATCTGAGTTTCTAAGGGCAGATAGTTCACTGAGAATAGGGTACTATCAATTTTGTAAAAATTTCCCACTTGGACATATCTTAATCATTTAATCCTATACTTACCTTTTTCAATCAGTCTAATATATTGCTTTTATAAAAAATATCCAGAAACCTGATATAAGTTTTTGTGAGTTGGCCAGACCCCTCTATGGCATTAGTCTTCATACAAGGCTCTTGGCATCTACTTATACCTGATGCCATCATGACAAAGCTCGAAGAAAAATTATTTGGTAGCTCGTAAGAACAGGCATACAATTTGATTAATTGCAGAGAAAAAGGTGGGATCAAGCCTGGTTTATTAATTTTTAGACTTCATACTCTCCTTGGTTCCAAAAATGAATTTCACTGACAACACATGATAAAGAATATTGCAGACCCTCAAAATAATAAGTAATAACCATGATGTCACCCTAAAATATTAAATCTTTCATAGAAGCAGAACATATTAAATTAGTTTCCTTCAGTAAAACTTCCAATAAAAATCAATTTGTGGTGCAATTTCAAGAAGAGATTTCTAGTTAAACCAGCAACAGAGCATCAAGAAAGTAGAAACTGTAAATCAACTAGGGCCTTATCAAATTACTAAATATTTGTGGGGAGCCCATAATATGCCAGACAATCTGGAAGTAGTAAAGGGTATACAGTTGGTCTTTCATATTCATGGATTCTGCATCCATGGATTCAACCAACTATGGATTGACAATATTTGAAAAACAAAAGAGAAACAAAAATAACAATATAACAATAAAAATGATACAAATAAGAGTATGGTATAACAATTATCTACATAGTATTTACATTGTATTAGGTATTATATGTAATATAGAGATGATTTAAAGTATGTGGGAAGATGTATATAGGTCATAAGCAAATACTACACTATTTTATATAAGGGATTTGGGCATATCCAGTGTTTGGTATCCACAGCGGGTCCTGGAACTAATCTCCCATGGATACCGAGAGATGACAGTAATTATGAGCGGACAGACACAGTTCTTGTGCTTGTATTATTTAGAATTGCTTGAAGATAACAACTAAATGATACCAAATACACACACATATACATGTGCACATATATAATTATGAATATTGAAAATCTATGAAGTAAAAGTGAACAGGGAGAGCTAATTTAGACTCAAGGGACGAGGAAAGTGTTTCCGCAGGAGTCCTATATCCCTGAGGTGAACTATGAGAAGGAGATAACCAGGTGAAAAATATGTTATTTTCTAGGGAGATAAACACATGTGTGAAGGCTTGACTTAGGAAGGCACTTAGCTTTTTTTTCAGAACTGGAAGAAGAATACTGTTATAGGAGCATAGTTGAAAAAGAGGCGAACAACAGAGCCCAGGAGGTAGGCAGAGGCCTGATTATGAAGCATCTTGCAGGTTGTGATGGGCAAATGGCCCATGTAAACCATGGCTGTGTGACAGTAATAGGCTTAACACTGATTGTGAAGCCAGTCATAATGATGTTTGTACTCAGGAGTACCTACAATGTCCCTTGATTCAAGGAGTCTTAAATAGGTTTAGTTATGAGAATAATGGTTAAAAATAGAATTGATTATAAGTTTTTTGAAGAAACGGTGTTCTAAATTGCTGTGCTCTGAGTCCCTTTAAGCATAGGTACCAAATATGTAGCCATGAGCAAATTTGCAGAGCTGAGCCTAGAGAAGGCCGCAACTACATTTATTGAGCACCTACAATATCAGTCTCATGGCATACATTAGCTCATTTAGTTCTCATAACCACCCTAAAAGGTGGCATTATTTTCCCCATTTTACAGATGAGGACTTTGAGTCTCATCTGAAAGGTAGTGAATTTCGAAAGGTAAATTAATGGAAGAGGCAGTTTTCAAATTTGGGTCTTCTAAGTTTATGAAATTTCTACTGAATAACCACAGTGTAATAATTCTTCAAGGGTGACAGCTCAAAGAACTTGCTGGATCCTGGGCCTCCTGAAATAAAAGATCCTTGTAGGTGCCAGTAGCCTCCATTCTCTTCATTTGTTCAGTCCCTCCTTTATTCAAAAATGTATGCATTTAAACACTGAAGCATTTGCTTAATAAGCATTAACTGGTAGGGAAACACTGTGATATCACTGGGGGTGAGGAAAAGATGAAGGAGTGGAAAGAGAGAAGGAATAGAAAGATACATAAGACCAGGAATCTGCCTTCAAGAAACCTGTATCAGGAAAGCTAAGTCTTACATGCACATAACTATGAAGCAGCACAGCATGTGTTGGGTCACAAGAGAACTACAGGTTAAGATCAATTCCTACTGTGCCCTTAAAATACAAGTAGGATATGGATGGATAGACATGTGAAAGAAAGGCTTTCCAAAACAAGCTTTTATAATTTTGGGAGACATTTGCTCTAATGCCATTTTGGAACCTCTCTCCTCAGATTAACCCAGCTGGGAGAGCGTTGGACATTTTCTGTTCTTACCAAGGACCCAAGGTTAGTTAAACAAGGCTGGAGATTGAGTTGAATATAATTAATTCTTGGACCTTACTATGATTCCTTCTTCCTACCCTTTTCTTCTTTATGTCAAATAAGTCTAATGAAGAGGTATTGAAGTGAAGGGAATTTTCCAAAACATTTTGTTTTGTTTTGTTTTAGATGCACAGCAGGTTGGAACGACTGTGTTGCTCAGCTGATAGGATGTGATAAGGGAAGAAGTGGAGATAAGACCAGATAATGGAGGCTTTGATTATCAGATTATGGAGTTTAGATATTCTATTATAGGCAACATGGAAAATCTTGAATCTTGAAATTTGTTTATATAACCAGTTTCCTAATTGGAAGAAATACTGTGAAACAGGATAGTATTCTTTTCCAATTATAGAAGTAAATCTTATGCATAGAAGATGTTAAGGGTTATTGTTTGTTTTATTTTTAACCTCTTTCAAGAGCTATTATATATTCAGTCTATGCTTTCCCTAGATTATTATTATAATGTATTGTTAGGGGAATTAATCTCAAAATTAATCTCCAGAGAGTCAACAAAATTATAGTCTAAACAACATTTGATCTGTCCAAACAAAAATTTACATATTTCAACTGTCCCTCTGACTGGAATTCACTTCCTTTCCCAATTTCACAAAGGAAATATTCTCTCCTGATGTTTCCTTTGATAAGGTCAAAGAGTTAATTGTTCCTTTTTTTCTAAGCATGCTCAACATGGTCTTTTGATATCTCTCTGCAGCTTTGCCATCTTCCGAGCAAGATTTTAATAATACCATGACCTATAACCTTTTGTTTCAAAATTGGTTTTTGCAGGAAATCAAAGGTGGGGGAGTATCTATATTAAATATTGATTTTTTAAAAAAAGGCCTCTCTTTCTCTTGCCCTTTCTCCCACCCTCTCCCCAGAAATTGAAAAAAGATATTAATGAAAGGGTTAATAGCCTTTAAAAAATCCATTCTAAAACTATTCTTTTTATTTCAGTTTATTCACTTTTCTCTCCTGGATTATAACAATATAGTTTTGGTAACAATTCATCTCAAATAATTCTACATGTTGAGCAATTAACATTTTCTAGGTCATTTTAAACCATCACATGTGTGTTTTAGAAGCATTTTAATAAAATTATATTGACTTATAATTTTGACTCTGAGATGTTCTAATAATGCGAGAGTCCAATCTAAAATGAAATTCCATTTGAAGAAATGGATTGGAAAAGTATATTATTTTTATCTTATTTCAAATTTTTTGACATCACCTGTTCATCGCACAATGATCCATAATAATACTAATAATATCTACCCATTATTGAATACCCACCTCTGCCAGGCACTGCTTTACAGAAAGTGTAATAAAAACCCCTGTGAGATAAATGTGATTGCTACGGGCTGAATTGTGTTCTCCTCCAGATTCATACACTGCAGCCCTAACCCCAAATGTGACAGCGTTTGAAGATTAATTTGGTAATTAAGGTTAAATGAAATCATAAGGGTGGGGTCCTAATTCAGTAAAATTGGTGGCTTTATCAGAGGAGGAAGAGAGTACGGTCTCTGTCTGAGGACACACTGAGAAGGCGCTGTCTAAAGCCTCCAGACGAAGTGCCCTCTCCAGACCTGGACCATGCTGGCACCCTCATCGTGGACTTCAGCCTCGAGAACTAGGAGAAAATACATTTCTATTCTGTGAGCCATGCAGTCTGTGGTATTTGGTATGGCAGCCTGAGTTGACTGATGCAGGGATTGTCCCAATTTTATGGATTAGGAAACAAACTGAAAGGTCAGTGGCAGAACTGGCATTTGAACCTGTGTGTGTCTGACTACAAAACCCACTCTTTAGGTTCCCTTCTTGAATTTCAAGCCAAAAAATAATGAATATAGACAGCCTTTTAAAAAAATACCAAGCACTTCAGCTGTTGTTTGCATTTCTATTTTACAGGTTTAGCAAAGCACACACAAAACAGGTGGATTGTTCTCATTCCCCCCTAGTCCTTATTATCTGATTTTTGTGTTCTAGCATGATATGATTTGAGCTCTCAGAATTCTAGGTTAATGTTGAACAATGCAGCCAATCTTCCTGGAATTGCAGTGTTGAATAAATCCAGGAAGATTTACTATTCCTGTATTTGCTTTTCGTAAAACATATTAAATACAAAATATCCAGCGTTGTGCCTGAAAGTAATTGGCAGTGTCCCATTAAACCATATTAAAATTAACATCTATTAATTGGATTAGAAATTCAGTGAGAATGACAGCTGCTAATGCCTTTTACAGTTACTTTGTTTCTTTATAATCCATATGGCAGAAATCACATAATGCCTTTTTTCTCCACTGAAATAAACAGTTAAGATAAAAAGGTTTGAGTCAATGTGGTCAGAGTATGTGCATTTGTTTTACTTTCTCTCTTTAAAATAATTTTTTTCTTTTTGGAAAAGCTGAACTATCTTTTTTTTTCTTCCCTCTCTCACAGGTTTTCACCAGCTATATTTTTATATCTGATTAGCATCGTTCCATCATTATGGCTTCTTGAGATGCATCATGAGACCCAGGTACATCCTTCTGGAAAGTAGGAAATTGAAATATTCAGCAACAAACGACTTCCACAGTATGATCTGATTTATTTCAGAAATGCGCTTTTCTAAGGAACTGGAGTCATCAAGCCTTCACTAAATAGGAGGCCATCAGCAAAAAAAAAAAAAAAAAGAAGAGTGAATCCATTATGTGTCAAAAAAAATAAAATAAAAAATAAAAACATTACATTATTTAACATTACATAATTAATTAGCATTTTGTATTAGAGATCTTGTTACTAAGACTCCCCCACCCACACCCGACAATAAGCTAGAGTTGACATGGGGGTGTGGAAATTTGGTTTTAACCTTTGCAGCTTCATTGAGTTTCCATGTTGTGCTAAGAATGGGTGGGCCTTGATAATCTGGCGTCTTGTAAAATGACACTTTTAGAAACTACAAAAACAAAAACAAAACCTTTATTTGTACTTTCTATCTAAGTACAATCAAACTTGTAGGTTTAAAATATTTTGTCTTACTTAAAATAGTCTGTCTTAAAATACAGACTATGCAGTTTATAGGAGATTCACTTTTGGGAGTCCCATGTGTCATTTTAGTGAATAGAAATTCTATTCTAGAATCCAGAAACTAAGGTTAAAGCAGAGAGGTGAGTCATAGGACCCACCGGGGGAAGGTGGGCTCATATGGATTAGAACACATTGACCTAGAAAATAAACAGTGGCTTCCAATAACTCTCTAATTTACATATAGAGATTTTTAGTTGAGATGCTTCCTACACGGACAACTCTATTAGCAGGCTCTAGGCTGGGCTCAGTCATTTACTGTTGTCTGCTCCTATACAACTTTGGAGAGTCCAAGTTAGTAAAGCCCATCAGCCTCCAGCTTGGACTTCACAGTTCAGTTTACAGGACTATATTACAGAGGAATCGTGGTTATGATATAATAGTATTTTAGTACCTTTACTGATAAAATGCTTTAGGCAAGATCTGTGAGAACTTGGCACTGTACAGATTTCTTTGCTATGGTTGGTAATTTTATTGCAAAGTTAAGCCTCCCATACATTAATATAACCCCATCTGGAAAATGCTCCAAATTTTAGGCACACAGAGGGGAATTTATTAAATAGTTCTGTGGACTATTTTTGAAGAATTCCACAAGCATGTAGGATGAAGAAAACATTTTTCCTCCTTAAATCTCCTGCTAAAAACCATTAAAGTCACAAGCAATCTCTATGCTGCTTGTAAAAGTATTTTTGTAACTGTAGATTGATCAGTTCAAATTATCATGGCTTTTTAAAACTACACCACAAGGAGTTAGGGGACTGTTTCAATCTCTTTACTACTTACTACTTTCAAGAGTGTAGAAATAAGCTCTGGTGATTTGAATCAATTTTTTCTTTCATATCCCATTCTATGACATGGCTATCATCTACAATAACAATTCATTCCCCAAATGCTTTTATAATATAAATATGTTGCAGAGTTAATTGATATACAGGTCAAATCCCATTACAACAAATAGCATACAACCTAAAGCCTCTTTTTAATAAAAAAAGATTTTTGAGCCCTGGGCAGTACCTCTCTAATTTTCATACTACAAAAGAAATTGAACCTTTAGTAATAATGGATTTGACTAGTTTTGATGCTGAGAATGAAAATGAATGCCCAGAGACTGAATTGGGCAGGGTGAGCAGAGAAGGAAGTAGAAAAATGGAAGAGGGACACAAAATATTGGAATTACATTTGAAGAAATAAGAAATGGCAGAATAAAGGGAGTTACAGTAATTCTCTTAATCTACTCTTTTAGAAAATTTTGGTTGTGATAATAATCAATTTTTTTTCATATGGTCCCTTGTACTTTCATAGACATTTTTTCATTTATGAACCCAGAAACTCCATAAGTTAGGCATGGTACGTACATTTCCATTTTATAGAAGAGGACCTTGAGGTTAAGTAATTTTCCTAAGGCCACACAACTAATCAACAGCAGTGCTGGGGCTGGGAACCTAACAGACCCTTGTCCATTAAACCACACTGCCTTTCTCAGTTATACTTGCCATGTTTTAGAGGCATTTGCATCAAAATCATCTGAGTTTTTCATGATGGAAAAAGTAATTTAATTTCCTTTCACATCTACTCTACATCCTAAATGTTCTAATCTGTGACTTGGCATTAGGAAAACATCCTGACCTATTTCATGAAAACATTTCTCCTAGATGACCAATTTGGTACCTTCATTCCTGAAACTGGCTGGATCTACATGTATGGAACAAGATGGTTATGACAATGTTTGTGACCTTAGCTCTTAGGTTTATTTATGAAGTGGCATGATAAAAATAATGGAAACATTCTGGTCTTAATGGTGTCACAGCCTAGTTTGACCTAAAGGAATAGTTTGGTGCTGATAAGAGCTTTAAACACATAGCTCATGAAAAAATGACATATTGGTACCCAGGTCATCTATATGAACTCACCTATACAATGCTGAATGTAAACAACATAACCACAAAAACAGTACAAGTCGGGCTAGGTTTGCAGAGTGAAATCACTTATTCATTGCCATCCCAATGTAGTTGCCACTTAAGGGAAAGTCTCATCAGTCTATTAATATAACAAATAGAATAACAAGAGTAGAGAGGAACTCAGATAAGTCTTAAGACCAAGATATGGATTACAAAGCTATTTGCTTCTAAGTTATCTTCTACTGCACTAAAGAATGGCTATTTTCTTAAATAACAAGATGTTTATGGATTTTTAGTGATGTGAATGTCAAAAACATATTAAGGTCATAACTTTTAATATACAGTCTGCTTTCATGCCCACAAAGTGGTCAAAATTTATTTCCTATTGACTATTAAGTTCTGAGATAGAGTCACAAAACTACTCTGCAATGAGAATTTATTGCTCGGCTCAAGATTTAATTTTTTATCTTCATTATCTTTTCTTGGAGCCTTAGCTGCACACACGCACGCACACACACAAATATAAAAACAGCTGTATTTTTGCTCCTAGAGATATGGCATATGGCCATTTTTCTTAATTATTCTAGTCATTTCACCCATAACACTAGTTGTTTGGATGAAAGGTAGAAAAAATAGCTTCTTGGCAGACTTTCCCTTCTACTTTATCAAGTAGCTCATAGAATAATCAATGAAGTATCCAGAATAATTAAGAAAAATATACTTCTTATGGCTTTAATTTTTTTAAGTAATTTCTCTCCAAATACAAATGTGTGACTGTGGATGTGTGATAATGGTAGTAGTAGTGGGGGTGGTGGTGTGTTTGGATGAAAGGTAGAAAAAATAGCTTCTTGGCAGACTTTCCCTTCTACTTTATCAAGTAGCTCATAGAATAATCGATGAAGTATCCAGAATAATTAAGAAAAATATACTTCTTATGGCTTTAATTTTTTTAAGTAATTTCTCTCCAAATACAAATGTGTGACTGTGGATGTGTGATAATGGTAGTAGTAGTGGGGGTGGTGGTGTGTGTGTGTTTCAAAAATATGTTAGCACTGCAGATGTTTAAAAAAATCTTCAACCTTTTTTTAACCAGTTTATAAAATATGCATTGGCTATAGCTATACTTTCAAGTGCCACCCCTTTCCTCTCGTATACTTTTTCCTTCTCTTACTCTACCTCAAATTACCAGCATCTGGTAGATAAAAATCATGCACAGTTCAGTTGCGGAAATTCACATACAAAATGAAGGAAGAAAACACATCATTTCTTTTAGGTCTATTGTCGAATTTTCCTTCAACCTAAATTAACTTGTGAACTGTCACTAAAATGTATGTTTTAGTGGGTGAACATGGAATTTTTAAAGTTGCTTGACAGACAAGATTGAAAATAGATTATTTACTTTGCAGAATGGTATATTTTAGATAAAGAGGCTTTTGGATAAGAAACAAGCTCTCCAAATACTGTAAATGCTTTGATCAGGATCATACATGTTTTTATTATTGCCATTGGTTATTGGTTTGTTTTACAATTGTCGCAGGATTCACAAAAGGAGCCTCAGTTATCAATCTATAAATTCTGTAGCTCTTCATGATGACTCAGAGCATTTACATCCTCATAGACCTATGGAAAAATAAGACATATATAGTTGACACTCTTCTCATATTAATTAAAAAGTGGTTTCCTATCTAAAGCCTATATTCTGATGTTTGGAAATGTTTATGCATATTGCATAAACTTCACATATCTGCTCATAATCTCTTGGATAGACTGAAGCCATTTTAAACTCTACCTTATTGTGATATTTTTTGGCATGTTTCTTCTCCCCCAATTCTTAGTATTGCAGTATTCAATCCGAAGAAAAGTCACAGAATGTCAGCAGAAAAGAAGACTTCAATCCAACACTGATGTCCAATGAACAAACCAATGGAACGGATGATCTCATTAAGACGGTGAGAGCTTTTTCCACCGTAATTAAAGGATACAGGAAATGGTGAGCTTAGTGAGGATAACATAATGTACACCTTGCAGCTCATTCTTTCCTGAAGAAATTTCCCAATGGTTTAATTGTTTGGCTCAGTAATTCACAAAATAATCATATTTTATATATTATTAAACATATTTAAGTTATATATAAGTTAATATTAACATATTAATAGACATTAAAAGATATATTTAATTTGCAGCATTAAGGAACACATAAGTCAGACATTATGTGCAAAGAGAGACATATACATTTGTGAAGGAATGATATAATTAAAAGATTGGAATCTGATATATATACACACACAAACAAATATGAATTTAAGAATATTTTAGAGCAGTTTTAGCTTGCAGCTAAATTGAGAGGAAGGTACAGAGATGTCCCATATACCCTGTGACTATGACAGCCTCCCCATCTGCCAACACCCTGTACCAGAGTGGTACATTTGTAAAAACTGAAAATCTACATTTCATTTTTGAGAATGCTAGTGTAAATGGTATTTTGTTTTCAATTTCAAATTCCACTTATTCTTTCCTAGTATATAAGAAAGAGATTTCCTTTTGCATATCAACCTTTGATCCCACAACCTTGCTATAAATGCTTACTAGTTCCAAGAGGGCTTTTTTGCTCAATTCTTTGGAATTTTATATAGACAATTATGTCATCCATGAACAAAAATAGTTTTATTTCTTCTGTCCCAATCAGTATACCTTTTATTTCCTTTTCTTGTGTTATTGAATTAGCTAGGATTTCCACCTTATATATTTTTTAGGTGTTTATTAATAAAATAGAGAAAGTTTGCAGCCCAAATAGAATCACTTCCTTTTTCTTCACATGTCTGATATTTGGCAAACTGATCATGGCCTATTCAAAAATGGTGTAAAGGAGAGATTCAAGGCCAAGACCCCTATCACAGAAACATAGTGTGAGGTTTCATGGAATGAACCTTCGATTCTAAATCAAGCTCCAATCACAACTTATCTGTATCACTTTGGACAAATCACTTAGTCTCTCTGTCTCTTGAGTTTTTCATCTGACAAATAAAAATATTAATGTTTATCCTACTATTGTGCTTCCTATATTAATAAATAAGTTGCATGTGAAGCTTCATAGAAGAGATATAAAGAAGTGTGCAAACGAAAGGTTATGGATCCTCATCCTTCAATCAGGTTAGCATCCTGCCCTGTCTTTTGTCCACCCTTTGCTTGTGCATTTGATATCAGCCAGTGATCAAGAGTGATAAATTTTGCACAAACATAGTTAAGTCACTTGCATAAATAAGTCAGAATCATTATCCAGTTCACTTAAGACCTAAGTCCTTGTAGTCTTTAAAAGATTGTAACCTATAGGGTCAATAATAGACTTTGAGCCTTATTTAGAAGGTAATTGGGCAAGAGATGTTGACCAGAATACATGAGTGGGATGCAAATTTTTCTCAGAGAGCAATTAATAAGGGCAGAATACAATTGCTCGCTAGCTTATGGATTATTAAATAATACATTAAGTATTCAGAATAAAAATAGTAACTTTACAGTTATTCTCTGCCTTTACATTTAGGTATTGGATAAACATTATTACCTTTTTTATGGTTAGATATAATAGAGTTTTAAAGCAATAAAAAACAAAGGGAAGATTTGTACCATGCTAAAAATATTTCCAGATCAGTAAATTCAGATTTAAAATCTATAAAAGAAAAATATAGGGGGAGTTTGTGATTTTAATGTGAAATTTATAAAATTTTGCTTTGTGTTATACTTTGAGTATAATAAAATGAGAAGTGATCTTTAAAACCTTGTAAAATTGTTTCTTTAAATATCATATGGTACAATACCACTAGCAAGTGTAAGGTTTAAATTACTTGCTAGGTATAGGCAGCCTCATCTTAAGGACCATATCAGCTATTATTTTTTCACAGTGCTCCTCTGAAAGGAGTGTTACTTTCTTTAGCAAGTGAAGAATAATTCCTGACAATGACCATCCACAAAAGTTAAACTCTTGATTGAAAGCCATGGTGAAGATCTCTCTCTCCAAGGCAGTAGCTCATGATCTTTCTGTCTGTATGACATTTCTGTTTAATAGGCCAAAGTTTTTGTAAGTAACTTATCTACGGTATGTGAGAAAGTTTGGACTTTGGGACTCCACCAGACATTCCTGTTAATGCTAATAATTGGAAGATGGCTTCTACCCATTGGAGGTGGGATCACTCGAGACCAACTCTCTCAACTTCTTCTTATATTTGTGGGAACAGCTGCTGACATACTGGAATTCACAAGTGAGACCCTAGAAGAACAAAATGTGAGGTAAGCAGGCCATGCAATGAAAAGACCTTTTCAAGGTCAGGGCCATGCACCTGTCTCTTTGTTCTCCCATTTTTATTCTGCATGAATAAGAATTTTTAAGATATCCTATGTCCAATGTTAGAATCAGAGAATTTGCTGCTATTTAGATACCTATGAAAAACCAGCCAGTCTTTATTTAAAAAAAAATACATAAAGGAGATTTCTGCTAGAAAAAGGTACACATAATGTACCTTGTGGGTGAGAACAGAAAAGTTCTGCATATTTGCATGACCACAGGTCAGGCAGAGCCATGGTATCCGAAAACCTGGAGTAGGATTACCACCCCAGCTCCTGTTTATACCATTTCCAGTGTCAAGAGCATAGCCAATCATACAATTCTCTTCTAGAGCACAGCACAGCTACAATTCCAAGAGAGCACCTAGAGAATACACGGAGAAACCTCTCTCCTATTCAGCTGGAGAATTTTCATTCCCTGGTGTAAATGGAGAATGGGGCAGAGGAGGTTTTATTTTACTGAATTTTATTTTTAGTCAGTTTTGTTCAAAGTGCCCAAAGGCTTTCTGGTGTAGATGCCTATAAATTAAAACTTATTGAGTTGGTACTTTTATTTTTGCCACAAGCAAATAAACTCAGAATCCATGATCACATCTGTTTATGGAATGACTTTCTTACCATTAGGGATTTAAGTCTCAGTGCCTGAATGTACTTTAAGCTTGGGTTGTTTTGCACTGTGCTATAAAAATAAATTGGAATGAGGCTGGCTTTTAATGTTACATTTTACTTTATGCTGTGTTTCTCAAACAACAAAACATAAAGCTGAACAAAATACACTAACTTACTGAGTAAACTTAATATCCCAATTATGGCACAAATTATATTTATAACCGTGGGTTAC